TGAACCAAATTATGTTGCATTTTCTATTACGTTTACTATTGGTATTCTTATTAGTGTTTGGAATGTACTCTAGTTTAATAATGTGTTTACTCTTATTTATTGCACCAACATATTTAGTTTTATATTTGTCAAAGATGTATTTGTTGCTAAAGTTAGTAGAGAGTCTGTGTTGTACAGATTTGTGCAAGTTATTAAGGATTCCTGGTGGGTGGTTAAATTCTTTACTAATGTATATATGGTTATAAAGCTCTTTATTATAAGGCATGTGCACTCCTCTGGATAGCTTGAAAGTAAATGTCCAGAAAGTTGATCACCTTGGCATTGGTGATATTAAGTCTGTGATCCTTGAAGAGTTGTTTCCTATACTGGTCAGTTTGTTGAGAATTGGCGTTACATAGAAGGATACCTCCATCGTCTCTGTACAGACCAGTGTTCTCGCTATCAAAAGTATACCCGAGTTCCATATTAGCAGAATGCCAACTAGTTCACAAGCTTTTGCAGAGTCAAATGCTTCCATTGCTATAGAGAAGTTAGGATTGTCTTTTTTGATTCACTTAGAACCATCATGATATAGAATGGGTTTCTGGGCTTGCATAATGATGCTGATGGTATCCTGGTCGGTAATGGTGCAATAATCCTTGGCCAGGGCTATAGCAGCCATTAACAGATCTTCAGTGATTGATGGGTAGAAGTTGGTGACGTTGAGTTGCATGAAGGTGCATTCGCTTTTATTTTTTATAGTAGAGAATCAATTGATAGTATCTTTTAGTATTTTTCCATTGGTTGACCCCTGCAGTACTCTGAGTAATTGCAGGCTTGCTCTAGTATAGCCTTGCTGATTTTGCCTATATTATTCTTGGAAGGGTTAAGCAATCTGGACTGTGGGTTGTTGGGGAAATTTATCCTTATGGTCATTAACAGTAATAAAAGTCTGTTGTTTATGAAGATTATGCACCTAGTTGATCTTAAGTTTAGTGGCTGTAATTCATGCCATGTTTCCATTCCCATTCGGCTGGGACTTTCTTAGTTATTAAAATAACTTCCTTTGTGGTAGTCTGTGATGTTATAGTAATATAGACTGCCAGTTTTATCAGGTTTGATGATTCTATCAGTACTATGTAACTTGGCAATGTCTTTTTTCATATTCCTCTGTAGGTTGCTATATTTGGTTGTGTATTTAATTCTATTTATTACAGACATATGTACAGAATTGAATGCAACAGACAGGGCATGAATTTGAACTTGGCTTGCTGATTCCCCTTTGCTAATGCCAGTTATGTTAGTGCACACACACACACTGTTACTTACTGTAGTTATTTGTGACATTTGGTATTTATAAAGAAATGTTGGGGTAATTTTACATATTAGGCATAACCTAATTCAGTAACTTGACATTCAAGATTTCTGAATTCTCCAATTGCATTTATGAAATTCATAATAGGATACAAATTAAAATTTATGAAGAGAATATACATCATCTGTAAGAAATGTTGAAAGCCTCTCGCTATCTATTTAAATGGGGAAGTCGTTGATTTGGGATGCGACCTGTGCAGATACATTTTCAGCCAGTAATTTGATCAGGTCCACAGTTGAGCTGGGGTTCATCACCCGGGACGCAGAGATAAAAAAAATAGTTAAATATTTTTCTCTTGCTGATAGATTTTTTTTTTTTTTTTTATTCCTGTAGTAGTGGGTACTTCTGGGGTTATTGGCCCTCGTTCAATGGTGTTCCTTTGGTGGATTGGCGCAATTGCGTCTTGATTAAGGGACGAGCCTCGCGAAACAGAGTGGCTCTTACAGCGTGTCTCACTGGCGATGGTTCGAGGTAATGCTTTCTCCATCATTGCAGCTGGCAGAGGATAGAAAAAAAATTGTTTACAGTTACTTTGTTCAAACTTTTTTTCAATAAACAAGTTTCACAAAAAAAAAAAATGTCCCACCAATTGTCATTCTCTTGTTTCATTAGTAAGATGGAAGTTCCTTGTTAACAGCTTCTTTACACAAACTACTACTTTGTGGAACCAACTCCCAAGAGTATATTTTCCAATTACTACAATCTTAACCTCAAGTCTAGGGTTAGCCATTATCTTCCCCACATATCCTTATAAACTGCACTTCTTACTCTTACCGCTCATACAATCACCTCCTTCAGTAAACCTCTACCTCAAGTGGCTTTGTATAAGTTAAGTTTGATTTTAAGTTAAGGTTGATTTTTCACTTTTTGTGGAAAATCACCATTGCACTCAGTGTGAAAACTGGGATTTGATGTGATAAGTACTGACACTAAAAATTAGATATATATCTTTTACCAATTTTTGAGCATTTAAGTTTAAAATGCAAAAATGAAAATGTACAGAAATACCTACTTTCAGCAGATATTTGCTTACAAACAGACATCAAAATTTTACTATTTCAAGAATAAATCCAAATATTTGTATTAGATACATTGGCTGGAAAATCTATTCAAACCAGAATTCTAATTATCAATCACTACAAGCAAAATTTTTTTTTTTTTTTTTACCATATTCAATATGTAAAAACTAAAAAAAAAATTGCAAAAGATTGCAAAAAAGGCTTCTCAGTGAATAAGATTTGTTAGATCATAATTAATAAAAACAAAAACTAGATACATGTATATAACATCATAATACTGTTGGACACAAATTATAAGACAAAATATTTTAAATTTGCATTGTTTATTGAAAATCACACTAAAACTACTGCACTGTATAACATATATCATAATATAGCCAAGTTGTTCAGTATAATTTCCCTTTGAAGTAAATGGTCTTATTTGATGATAATGATTTAGTAATAATATGCTTGTGCCATGCATCTTGTCCATATACAGTTAGTAAAGCTTCAGTAAATTATGAATTGTCTAAGGCTGTGCTGTAAGGCTTTCACTGATCACTAGAATGAAATTCCATTACAATTTTGAACCTTAACTTAATCTTTAAACTCCTCTCCTCAAAAAATGGTAATGATTTGGAAAAAAATATTTTCACTATTTACATTATTCGGATGATTGTCCGCCATATTTATTACAACGTTTCGGCCATTGTACGCTCCAGCCTTCTTCAGGTGGTTGGAATGTCGAACTGAACCTTTTATTTTGCTCACTGGGGTAGACTGTTTTACTTTCACATGCCATGTTTAATGTATGTCAGTTATCTCCTGTTAATTCCCCTCTTCCAAGTTCTCCACTGCCTTAACAGGGTATTGAACTGACACAGTATGGGTCCTGTCACTGGATCTAACCAACACCTTTATCCACTGAGCTTGAGGACATCTGTGTATGAATTTCTGGGTATTATAAACCTAATGTCTTCAGCAACCACTAACAACTGTTATTTATCATGTCAAACCTCAACTATCAAATTGAGTGAAATACCACATTCCAAAACCAACCTGCCTTATTCAACATTATAGTGTAAAAAAAACATCTTATATGGAGGCTTGCAACTAATGTTTTCATTTTCAACAAAGTATTTAAATATGCTAGTTGCTCTCCTTATATTATTAACAGTATTTGTACATGGAAAAATTCTGCCAGAATGGTAAAATATAGTTCCTGGCAAAAACCTAAGTTGTATAATTGTCACTATGTTCAATGTCTTGTTTCAAATCCAAAAGCTGTGACCATCTGATAAATCTTGTGACTCTTGCATTCATGTTCATGAGATCTTGTAGCTAAAGAATTGCACTTCTCTCAAAATGCTGAATATTTAGTCTTGAAGAAACAGCTGCAAACTCTATTTTCTAAAGATGGTCACAGAATGGTTGATGAGCCATGCACACAAAGAAGGAAGGTGGTTTGGCTTGATAAAACTGTTACATTGTATTTCATTTCACCTGCTTGTTTTGTTACCTAATAGAATTTACTGAGAATGTATTGTTCAACTTTCTACCATTTTTTTTTTCCTTTTATCATGTGTCTGTGTTGAGAATTATAACATTAGAAGAAAAAAGATGATCCGTAACTTTGTCATGCAGAATAAAAGAAATGGGGATTATTCAGATGGATTCTTTTATTCATTCACTGTTAGATGTTATTGTGCAAGTCAATGTTTTCATAATAAAATTTGTATTAAGCACAACAGATGTTGGTAAAATATTCAGGATATATTTAGATGTGCAAGAAATTGTGAGTTTCACTTTATATTAGATGTCTTTATTAAAAATATTTATAACTTGTTTTAGGGTTTATTGTGCAAACAAACAATGTATAGCATAATTTTTGTTTTTTTATAAATATATAAAGAAGATATAAGCCATAGAAGTACGCTGTAGAATAAGTGGGAATGGTTAAGTGTAATTGACAAAAATCTCAAAAGACAATTGGTAAAATTCTCAGCAATAAGCGGAAGGGAAAAAGATAGCAAAATAATGAGGCAGTATTTGTGAATGAACTTTAAAACCGTAATAAAGCAAAAAGTTTGCAAAATAGGAATAGCATTCACATGCAAAAGGGAGACGCAATCAAGTGGTCATCCTGACTTCATGGCAAGAAGGAACAAAAAATGTGGGGATAAGACAAAGACTTGTTTAATTTCTTATTGGTTGGGCAGAAATCTCGGCATATATCTCTAAGATTTGTCTAACTTTGAGGAGGAGTTGTTTTTAGAAGTCATTTCCAAATTGTAACCAACATATGTACGTATTCAATTAACACAATTTATTGACATATATGACATCATTTCACTTATTGATATGGATTCCTTAATATATATATATATATATATATATATATAGAGCTTACAGCCATATATATATATATATATATATATATATATATACAACAGCCAATATATATATATATATATATAGCTTACAGCATATATATATATATATATATAGAGAAAACTTACAGCCATATATATATATATATATATATAGAGAGAGAGAGCTTACAGCCATATATATATATATATATATATAGAGAGAGAGACTTACTTATATATATATATATATATATATATAGAGAGAGAGAGAGCTTACTGCCATATCACAATGAAACACCAGTTCCCATCTGATCTCCAAAGTTAAGCAATATCAGACCTGTTCAGTATCTAAATGGGTCACCATTTAGAAATACCAGGTACTGTAAGCTTATATCTCTGTGGTGTAATGGATAAAGGCTCGGAATAAGAAATTGGAATGAATTTTGAATTTCAGTTGGGTTCATTACATTTGCTTACATGCAAATACCTTTGGGAATATATGAATACACCTTTATCTCAGCTATGGGTTAAATAGTAGGACTTGTAACTGAAAATTATTATATCCCACAAAAAATATTACTACAATATTTACTTTTTCTTGCTTTGCTTTCTGCTAAGGCAAATAAATATGAGTTTGTCATATTGATATTTTTTGAGCTTATGAAACTATTTACAAATTATAACATCTAGAAAATTTAAATCATTGCTTGTGGAGCCTTAGGCTGCAGCCTATACTAGGCTAAAGGATAATCCATCCCTGATAAAAAGTAATTAAAAGTAATGCCTTGTACACTTGTTAATCTATCAATATTAAGTAAATTGTTGTTAATTTGCATGTATATTTACAATTTGTTTGCCAGTTTTATATGCTACACTTTTGTAATAAACAGTAGTTCTATAAGTTGCTTTTAGCATTAGTCCTTTCTTTATACAAATTTATACTATCATGTAGAACAAGATTTTTAGAATATTTACTGCAATTTTATCACGAATCTATAGAATTGATTTATCTGTAAACTTTCATTCTCTATATATATATATATATATATATATATATATATATATATATATATATATATATATATATATATTCAAATTATATTAAGGAAAGAACAGTCAGATTTAAAATCCAGAGTTCTTTAGCATTTATTTTTATTTAAAAAAAAAACAGTGCTTGATACAAAGTAGAGCATAATATTATAATTTTTTTTTTAAAATGTCTCCATCATGACACAAATTACTGTTTTGAAACAGAAACTTAAATCTTAAAATTCAAACTTAAAGTTTGGAGCTTGGTTCCATTCTCAAGTGATGTTAAGAATAATTTAAATTATTCTTGAAGCCCATCATGAGTGTAAAAAAAAAAAAATAAATAAATAAAAAAAACTATAAAAATAATCCATGTATATGTACTAATATGGGGGAAAAAAATGTTTATTTTCAATAATATATGCATATTATTTGGAATGCACTGTTTGAGTCTGACAATCTTGGAAAGAGGGGTTAACATTCTGATTTAAGGTTGAAAAGGGGGCAATAGGCAAAAATGGTTGAACTTCTGTCCTAGATGAATTGTTGTTGGTGGTGGTTGTTGTTATGGCTCTGTCTTCATTTAGTTTCCTTTTTGGGTTCCTTGAGGCATTGATCCATGTCAATTTTTGTTTAGGTACTTTTTTTTTTTTTTTCTTTTTTCTTCTGTTTTTTTTTTTTTTTTTTTTATGTTAAGTTATTAGAATCGCTTGAGAATAGAACCAAGCTCCAAACTAAGTTTAAATTTTTAAGTTAAATTCTAAGATTTAAGTTTCGTTTTTGAAACAGTAATTTGTGTAACGATGGAGACATATTTTAAAAAAAAAAAAAACAATAATAATAATGTTATGCTCTAATTTGTATCAAGCACTGTTTTTTTTGGTTTTTTTTAAATAAAATAAAATGCTAAAGGACTCTGGATTTTAAATCTGACTGTTCTTTCCTTTTTTTTTTTTTTTTTTTTTTATCCCCACCACCCATGGTTTGTAATTTGTCTTCACCTTGTACTTCATTTTTGTTTTGTGTGTGTGTTTATATATATATATATATAATGTGTGTGTATGTTACCGATACGGGGAAAACTATGAACAGAGCAATAATATAAATAAGTACCTTTAATATCTTTATATGAACCTATCTCTACAACCCATACTATACAGTTTCACTTCTAAGTAAGCTAAAATTTGGCAGATTCAGGCAAGCTAAACAGGGCTAATGTGATGTAAATCTGAACCTTGTACTCTAAAGCTAAACTTTGGCTTGCCCATTTTTATTGTTGCTGTTTTTATTACCAATTGCCATTCACTTATGTAATCATGTCAAAATAAATCATAAGCCTTGAAATATAGCTGTCCTTCATGCATTGTATATAATGATTTAGTATTTTTATACAGAAATTGACACACTCATTTTTATGCCCTTAAGGATATCTTGTGATTTATAACAAAATGAATGTTGAATAGTTTTTTTTTACTTGAATGTTATCAATGTTTGCAACTTACCTTTGTCTGTTCCTCTCTGTTAACACATTTCAAGGTGACATGAGAATTTCTCTTAGAAAAAAGGTAAATTTTAAGTGCGTGTACAGTGTTTTATCTTAAGGATTCAACAACTGAGAATTTTTTTTTTCGTATCTTCAAAATGCATTTTTGTTTTTTTTTTAAACTGTTGGATTTAACAGCCAGATTACAAAAACTAACTTTGGTTGTCAAAAGCTTATAGTTGTCTGATATCACTCAAGGCTTTTTAAAATTTTCTTTTCATGTCTCTTTTTTTTTTTTTTTTTTTTTTTTTTTTGTTTAATGCATCAATAGGATAATCTTTGTGCAACTTTGACTTTTTAATTGGATTCATTACAAAAAAGATTAAGAGATTATCTTGGTATTAATTACAAGTTGCATAATTGGTCAGTAATTAAGCAATAAAATGGGATTTCAAGAATTATGACTTATGTCTGCATGACTAGAAATATGAGTTACTCCTTTACTACCCAAACTTGAAATGCAACAAGTATTTCTTCATAAAGCAATTCCAAAGTCACCCTATCTGAAGATATTACTGATTCTATTGGTGGGAAAAGCTTTTTGAATTCTTTTGTAACTAGCCTGTATATGCAGATATTCAAACTTATATTATGAGTAAATATCTGGAGTTTGCTAAAGTGTTATTTCAAGTTTTGCATATAAATTACTACAAAACCTTTTATATTCACAACAAATTTCTTCGTCAAAATCTCTATCTCTAAGCCAGGAGAAATAAACTACATCCAATTTCAAAATTATGTAATCCCAACTCGGTATAAATAAACAGTATTTGGTACTCATATGGAGTAGGTCCTCCATTTGCTAGTTTCAGTGCTTGTATTCAATTTTTCATGGATTTGATCAAGTTGTCAACAATCGTTTGATCCATATTTTGCCACTCCTTTAGCAATGTTTCTTTAAGAGTTGCCACTGACATGGTTTTGGTTGCATGTTCTCAAAGTTTCGGTAAAGGTGCTCCCAAATGTGCTCTATTAGATTCACGTCAGGCTACCTATGCTTCCAGGCCTTTGCTACTTTGCTTGTATAATATGGCACTCCATTTTCTTGAAAAAGGTAGACATTCTTGTCAATCTGATTGGTTTCAAATAGTGGGATTAGTCCTTTCTCTAATATTTGACAGTATTTTGGACCATTCAACCGCACGTCAACAAGAATCAGGTCAAATTTCCCTCCAAACCAGACAGTGCCCCACACCATTACTCCAATCCCTCCATGTTTCACGGTCACCTGCAGGCATTCAGTGTTCCAAGTCTCATTCTGATTTCTCCAAACATAAAGCTGTCTCAAATTCAAATATTGGCAGAATTTATTTTCATCTGTCCAAATTACAGACTGCCAAAATTCATAAACCCTTGCTCCCGAATTATCTCGCCCAGTCCATACGCCTGTTCCTGTTAACCTCTGAAATCAAGGGCTTCTTTCTTGCAACTCTTCATTGATAGCCTAGCTCTTTGAATCTTTCTCACCGCATATGGCAACATTTCCATGCTGTTGGTGATATCTTTGACAGTCTGACAACAGTTTCTGATGACTTCCCTTTTCAGCGCCCTTTTTGTTCACTCAAACACAACGTTTGGTCTTCCTGAACATTGTTCCACACGACAATGGCCTTCTTCATTAAATTTCTTGACAATATTATTAACCGCTTGGAAAACCTAGCAATTTCTCTATTTGACAATGCAAAATATGTCAGCTATCATTCATAGATGAGAGTAGATTGATACTAACATGGTATTGTCCAGGGGGGAAAAAAAAAAAAAGATGTTATTACACAAGCCAAAATTGCTGTAATCAAGGGTGACTAAAAACTTACCATAGCCCACTATATATATATATATATATATATATATATATATATATATATATATATATATATATTTTATATATCAACAGTCTTTTAAAAAAAATGACTAACTGGAAAGGCTTTTTGTATATATAGTCAGAAATCTCTCTTTTTATACATGTTTCGTCAAAGATCACGGATAAGGTAATGAGATTAAGCATTTTATTTAATTTTTCTTGTGTTCGTACAAGTGCTTTCTTTTCTGGAGACAAAGTGTATATAAACTGCCCAAAAGTTTTGCATTACATCTACCAAAACCATAGTTCCATTAGGACACACACAAAAACTTACCAGACTCTATCTGAAACCTACAAATAAGTATAATAACCTCATCCACATGTAAAAAAAAAAAAAAAAAAGATTAAAAATAATGGAATCCCTAATAATAAAAAAGTAAAAGCCAATACTTAATAACATTAATTATGAATACAGCCACAATGTGATGACCGTGTTTGGAAAATAAAGCATTCCTATAACTTTAGACACATACATAAAAAAAATTGCTGAAAGCGCTCGGGTATGCAGAACTTTTGGACAGTTTATACACACTTTGTGTCCAGAAAAGAAAACACTTGTATGAACAGAAGAAAAAATTAAATAAAAAGCTTAATCTCAGTACATTGTCAGTCGTCTTTAACGAAACATATAATGGACTGAAGTTTCAAGCAAGCATGTTTAAATAAACAAAACTATTTTACCTAAAGTTTTCTTTTTGTAAGCATGTATCTTGTTCTAGAATTGATAACATTCCAAAATATATAACTATAGTTCATCTCATTTCAAGCTAACATAGTGAAGCGTAATGCAACACCAATTTTGATAGGAAGCTGCACAGAGAAGACACATAATACTGTCCTCATGTTATCTTGAATCATTTACTGAAAACAAGGCTAAGTGTTGGTGAACATTACAATTGTGTGCACTTACAAAAGCATACAAATTATTCTTCAGCAGCTCTAACCCCTTTTCAG